TTTAAAAAAATTAATTGACCTTGAACTAAACTTCTGGATTTTGATCTAAAGTCAAAGTAAAGATCATCAAACGAGTGTCCTTAACATCAAATAACTTTCACTCGAAATATTTTTAAGATAAAGCAAATAAGTTTCTGATATATTTCTGTATATCTTTTAAAATGGGTTACTCAGTATGATTCATATAGTTAACGAGATGCTAGACGCCAGTATAATTGCTTTTTCTAATTTACTCTTTATTTATTATTGGTTAAACATACCATTAGAGGAGGTGAATAGTTTCAATGTGAAAATATAAATGCAAATGAATGGAAGGCTATCTAATATTATAAAACTCAACAAGAGTTTTCATGTAACTTTGGGCAGTCTTCCATTCATTAGCGTTTGTATTTTTAGTTTAAAAACCAGAGTAACTTTAAAAGCAGTTATTTCTGAGTTAGCATCCCTTTAAAGTTTCAAGATATTTACTATAACCGTCCTCGTTTGATGACGTCAGAAACGAGAAATCGCATTCAAAAGTATTGCAGTATATATATCTAATAAATAAAAAATATATATAGAAATAAAAGGATATATCCATAAACATTTGCAATCGATTTAGCAATTTGTGAAATGTTCTTATGAGTATCTTTTTGCTGTGTTAGTCAATAAAAATTGTAAAATTAATGTAACATCAAAATCATGCAAAAAGATCAAACATATTTCACCTGTTGTTATTTATTGATTCTTATAGCAAAAATTACATCTTACAGTAATGAAAGTTTTTGGAGCATTTTATAAATTCATTGAGTTGATCACATATCGTATTACGGATATACTTTTTTATGTCAATGTATACAGTAAGAAGTTCCAGCATGTAATTTCTTGCTTCTGACGTCATCAAAAAATAAAGAAGCCTTAATTACCAATTAAATATATGTATACATAAGCATTTTAATTTATTAAAAGAAGATAATTTATAAATGAAATATACTTATATTAAAACAACAAAATTTGTTGAAAATATTGAATAAATATAACAAGATCGTATCTTCTTTAAAATTAAACAGGTGCAGACAGATTCTAAGCAAAGTCTGTTATAATTTTTGATGTCAAAATGGTAACTTTAACATAAGATCAGGTTCTATCTAAGTTTTGCAAACTGTTGCCAAAAATCTGACATAGCCAGCTGACATTTTAAGTGCAAATCAAGCAAATAGTTATAAAAATAATATTTTTTTTCTAACCTTCATTGAGATTTCCATCGTCATCCTGAATGCCTATATCTGATATGTTTAATGATGTAGATGACATGTTATATTCTTTAGTAACATACTTTGTTGTCTCATCTACAGATTGAATAAAATTTTCTTCTGTGTTGATACATAAGGTGGATTCTTATCATAAATATTTTTTGAAATGTCTTGTATAATATTATTATTATTGAGGTATGCTAAAAAGAGTAAAGAATAAGGATTAAATATCACAAAAATTATACATTTGATTTTAATATATTAAAAATTGATATTATATATAAAAAAATTATATTATTTACATCAATAATTAATAACACAAGTTGACAATTAAAATTTTTTTGGACTATCTCAAATAAGCAGGATATCTTAAAGATTTTTGCACGATGAAATCAAATTCAAATTTGTCTATTAGACGTAACACTTTTGATTAAATTTCGTCGAAGGTTTCAATGATTTGAGATAATTTATAACATTATAAATAATAACAAATAATTTTTAGCGCTCTGCTATGTTAAATAACAAATTTAAAAGATAGTAATCGGCGACACAGAGCAACCGCGGATGTCAGTGCGCGAAGACCGCGAAAATTTTGATTTTTCGCTGTCTTATACCTGTGCACAAGGCACGAAATTTCTTAGCAATATATCGAAGAATTATTTAGGAACAATCTCTTGGTTTTTGAGATCTTAATTCCTACGTTCTTTTTACCCCCCTAGAGAGATGTAGACGAAAAAATATATCGGTCCGAAAAAGTCGCTGAATCGGGACATTATAAATAATACTTTTGCGTGTGCATTGATAAAATTAAAAAAACTTCTCTTTTAACGAAATTAATAAATTCGGTTTCAGCGCGCAAATATCCTTCAGGTTTACTATATCCAGTACGAGATAGTACGAATAAAATAAATTTGTTGGCTTGTGTAACCAAATACATAAAAATTTAAGTTATATTGAAAAAGATTTAATAAATCATTATTTTTTATATTTAAATTTAAATAACAGAATAAATTATACAAGATCGCATCTTGTATATTTTCTGCTTTTACATTATGTGTTATTGCAATTTAATATAAATAAGATAGAAGTCAAGAACGATGGAAAATTACTTTGATAGATTGATGATCAGATGTATCATGTATTTTTCGTCCTCTGTTGAAATTGGTTTTCTTTGAGATATATAGCTTACTTAAACAACATAGAATTAAAGAGAAATTTAGAATTTGCAAAATATCTAAAATAATTATTTTATATAGTACACATCTGCATCGTGCATGGAATGTATAACAAAATATATTATATATGTTATATATGTTAAAACTTAAATCAAGTATAAATTCTTAGGTGTACAATAAAAGAAATATAAAGAGATAATTATATTACCAAATATTTAGAGATGTATTTACATACAAGTAATAATAGCTATTATAATTATATTTTAAATATAGAGTGAGTGAGCAGTTTTTTAAAACATAATGTGTATATTTGTACAAGAAAATTATAATTATTTTGAAACAATAACATACCTGTAGTGGAAACAGGTGCACTTATTTCAGAATGTTTAGAAATTTTATCTTCTACAATGGTGGGTTCAAATAAGTCGCAATCTTTATATACTTCCAATACATTGCCATGCCAGTTACATGAACATTTATCTAAAATTATATATATCATATACAATTCATATTAAAAGATAAAAGTAAAGATATAAATATACTGTTAATCTATAAGTAAAGAAATAAACATATTGTTATATAACAAAAGGATCCACTACAGCTAAGTATAACTTTTTACAAAGAAAAACTATATAAAAAATTACGTAGAAAACTAAAACAGAGTTTATTTTTACAAAGATCTAAATATCTAAATCAATCAAGTCCAATGCAAAATGGTATGGATGTTCTGACATTAACATTCACCAATAATCTTTAGATGTATTTTTTGAAATAGTACAGTCAATTAAGCGGTAGGAACAGACCCATAGATATCTATTTCATTTTAAGAGCAGGCTGAATAACTCAGTGCAGTTTAAAAATAATTTTGTTGTTTATTACATACCTTTATCGAGATTTCTTACTTCATCCTGGATATCTATGTCTGATATATTTACTGACGTTGATATGTCAGATATATTTAATGACGTTACTATGTCTGATGTATTCAATATTGATAATAGACTAGAAATATTTGCTGAGCTATTAGTTTGTTTAGCAACAGAACTTGTTGTCTGATCTATCACAGGTTCAACAAAATTTTCACTACATGATTTATTTGATGATACATAAGATGGATCCTTATTGTAAACATTTTTTTCAATTTTTCTCCTATAGTATTACTATTAAAATTCCTAAAAAAGGAAAAAATGCACATAAAATATGACAAACATTATAGATTTTGACAAACATTATAGAATCTTATAGATTTTGTGCTAATAAGTCAAAAAAGTACGACATTTATTCGTGTAATCAAGTAATTAATTAAATACATTATTTCAATTAAATTAAGAATTAAAAATTTTATTTAAATACAGATAATTAGTAATCTAATTTGCATGCAGTTATAGAAATTAAATTTCTTTGTAACCTTCATTGAGATTTCCATTGTTATCTTGGACATTTTTGTCTGGTACATTTATTGACATTGATATATGTAATCGATTAGAAGTATTTGTTGAATTATTAGTTTGTTAGGAACAGAATTTGTTGCCTGATCTATCACAGGTTCAACAAAATTGTTATTTGATGAATTATTTGATGATTCATAAGATGGATCCTCATCGCAAACATTTTCACTACTGTCTTTCATAGTATTACTATCAAGACATGCTAAGAAGAAAAAAATAGTTATGAATATAAATATGAAGATAGATATCTCACAAAACTATAAATTTTGTTTCTAATAAGTAAGAAAATATGACCACATTATTCGTATCATAAATTATTACAATAATTAAATATATTAGCATTTCAATTAAATTAAGAAATATTAAACATATATACATATATATAATATAAACTAACTATGACTAACTATGGCATAAGAAATATTAAGAACGTCGTGAAAATTAATAAAAGTTTATTGGATGTTTGGTCGATTATTTGATATTCCTTATTTTATTGACTAGCAATTGCGAATATTTATAAAATATTAAGTTATTTAAATATGGCTGCTTTTGCGAGAGTATGATCATGATCAACTGCAGCGCAGGATTAAAATAAATCCAGATTAAATTGATCAATTGCAGCGCAGGATTAAAATAAATCCAGATTAAATTGATCAATTGCAGCGCAGGATTATTTTAATCTGTCTTTTAAATCTATCGCAAAAGCAGCCACGATGATTAACAATAATAATTTGTAGTAATATAAAATAAACTATACAAATTATTTATTCAAATAAATTCCACCTTACCTTCTTGATTCTGGATTTGAAGCAAGTTTTGTTTTTTGTGCACATTGGGCAAAGTAACACGTTGTAATATAATTTTAGGTACACACAGGTTAGTTAAAGAATGCTTAATATCATTAAGTACAGTAATATTTTCTGTAATAAACAATAGAATATTAAAATATTATAAAAGATTTTCAAATAATAATAAATTAATGATTGAGAGAGAGAGAAAGAGAGAGAGAGAGAGAGAGAGAGAGAGAGAGAGAGAGAGAGAGAGAGAGAGAGAGGAGAGAGAGAGATACGACAAATCAATAGTTTATTTGGCTATTTCTAATCTCTTTTATGATATACAGGGTGACCCATTTTAACTTAGGCAGCCAAATAACTCGAAAAATAAGCACACTACAAAAAAATGTTTAGAATCAAAATTTCGTCATTTCGAGGGGGACGTACAATGACGTTAACATCAGCCCCCTCACCTCTCCCCCTGGGCGGTGAGGGGGGGCAAGTTTGAAATCTTAAATGGGAACCTCTATTTTTTATTGCATATTCGGAATCTTTGGCTAAAAACACATACAATTTGTCTGAAAATTTTTCTCGATTCATGATAGATGGCGCTGTAATCGACAAAATTCAATTTCTTCGATTTCTCTTACTGAGAACAGCGTGGCCAGTGGTCCTTGAATCCTTGAAAATCGGGAAAGTACCGGGAATTTAAATTGCCTTAAAAACCGGGAAAAGACCTAGAATTTACTTTGAAAACCGTGATTTTTTCAAACGTATCATTTTTTAATTGCTATTGATTAAAAACATTGAAATAACTCTTAATTAATTTTCTGTTGAAGCTTTATAAGTGCACTTTAAATAAACGCGCGTTCATCTTTCCTCCCCTCTCTTTCCCCACGGTGCTATTCGGCGTATCGTTCTAATAATGTTCGCGGTCCGCGAGCCCGGTGGGCTCGTCGCAGTGATGACAGGTTTTCTCTCTCGCACATGTGCGCGCCGTGCATGCGCGAACGAGAAACCCATCCTGTCTCACATCACTGGCTCGTCGCGAAGAGAGTCCGCGGAGAGAGGATCGTATCTTTACCGAGAATCATTTGGCGCGCCATGTTTCGCGCTGTTTTTGTCTAAACAAATGAACAAGTCGAAAATCTAGAATGTAACGGTCGGTAGTTTCTCATATGTGATTCTCAGTGCAATACCTATAGATTAATAAGAATGATTATAGAATAATAGGAGTGATTTATTCGTTGTCTTCTAACAGCAGGTAATATATTATTATCTAAATAAAATTTATATATATAAGATCATTTTTACGAAGAAATATCGGAAAAATAATGATATTGTAAAATTGTTAAATAACGAAATTACAATTTAAAGAAAAAATTTCAATATTTAAACTTTTTTTAAATCGTGTATATTTTTGAATAAGCCAATTTATATTATTTATTAATATATTATTATTTTTATTATTAAAACTATTACAGAATGATTGAATCAACATTTCTTTATTTTTGACACAAAGCTTTTTAATAATTATTTTCAGTTGATTTTTTAAAGAATAATGTCTAAGTTTAAACAAAAAACTACCAAGTATCAAGCATCCTATGAGCTTATTTATCCATGGGTAGCACGAGATCCAAAAACTGACACCAATGCATTATGCACGTGGTATAAAACAGTTATTAATATTTCTTCCATGGGAAAAAGTGCTCTTCATAGTCACGTCAAATCAATAAAACATAAAAACATTGTTACAACTAAAGAAAAGAGTATTCTGATGGAAATGTTTGTACAATGTAAAGAAAAAGATAGTGCACAATCTGCGATTACTGATGCCGAATCATTACAAGGTACCCTTATTATTATTATTTATTCTCTCATTACATTTAACAATACGTGCTTAAAACATTCTGCGCATTCGCGAAAAGGCACTCCACTTTTGTCCTATATGCGTATCCATCTTTAAAACAGATGGTTTGGTTATAGCGATAGATGTGGATCCCGTAATATCCGAGGATTTGTATTCACAATGTTTATTAAAAATTTATTTGATTTTTGTAAATTACGTGTCCACTATTTTTATTATTTTGATTATATATATCTAACAAACAATAAAGTATATACCAATTTTATAAAAATCAAAATATTTTTTAAATCGAATTGAATGAATTATTTACAATTTATTATTATTTGTAATTTGTAATAAATAATAAATTTACTTTTCTATTATAATAAATAATTAATACTTTTTTGTCATTTTCCAAAATCTTATGTCAAATTCGTATATATTTAATTATAGTAAATAAATCTACATATCATTGTATAATTAGACAGTAGTAAATAAAATTTGTTTAAATGTGTAGCGTTAGTATAAAAAATATTAAAACTTTCAAGTTATCTTTATCGATTCTAGTATTTTTAGGATCTCACAACACGGTTAGTCCTATTAAAGTAACTGGAACTACTGTCAATGATCGTGGAATTATAACAGCTTCAACTTCAGAGAATAGCTCATTAAGTTTACGGCAAAAGTCTGTGCACCAATTTCTCGTGACAGATGATGTCACAAAAGCTGAAATTCTTTAGTGTCTTCGAACTGTTATGAACCATATATTCATACGAACGTCTGCTGCTTGTGTCTCAACTCTCTCTCTGATGTTTCCTGATAGTAAGATTGCTGAGAAATACAACTAGGGAGAACGAAAATTTCATACAGTATTGTGTACGGTATTGCTCCGTATTTTTATCATGAACTGCTTAACTTAGTCGACGGTTGTGATAATGTGGTTCTTGAATTTGACGAAAGTTTGAATTCGATTTCTCAAAAGGCCCAAATGGATCTTTACATAAGATTTTGGCACCCAAACGAGTCCTTGGTACCGACGCGATATTTTGACTCTGTTTTTCTTCAGCACACGCGTGCTATTGATTTACATGAAGCTTTGACGGGGTCTTTTGGTGCGCCAAAACTCGGAAAAATTTTACAACTGTCTATGGATGGGCCAAATGTAAATTTAAAAGTTTTTAAAGATTTAAATCAGGAGCTTAAAGAGTCCTTTGACGGTAAGGCGCTCTTGAATATAGGTAGCTGCGGCCTGCATGTTGTTCATGATGCATTTAAAACTGGAATGAATCAATCTAAATGGGAAATTATGACTTTCTTGAGAGCTGTGTACTATCTATTCAAAGATTCGCCAACACAAAGAGCTCAGTATACTGAATATACAAAGTCTTCTATTTTTCCCAAAAAATTTTGTGCCATTAGATGGGTAGAGAATGTTGCCGTAGCAGAGAGAGCTATTCAAATTCTCCCGCATTTAAGAACGTACGTCGCCGTATCAACAAAGGAAAAATCTGCTCCAAATTCGCATAGCTTCAAAACAGTTTCTGAAGCTGTCAATGATAAACTTCTTGTCCAAAACTAACTTTTTTTAGTACAACAGCATCTTTGCTTGAGCCATTTTTGCGTGAATTTCAAACAGATGCTTCTATGGCACCATTTTTATATAATGAATTTTATACTCTTATACATTCTATGATGCAGCGAGTTGTGAAAACTGACGTTCTAAATGGCACTTCTGATCTTCATAAAATAGATTTATCGGAAAAAATAATCTAATATCCGCAAAGAACTTCGAAATAGACTTCGCAACGAAAGACGCACTGAAAAAAGTAAAAGAAGTTTCGGAATTACAAATTCTTCAATTTAAGCAAAACATGTGTAGATGTATTGTCAGAATTATAGAGAAACTACATGAACGTTCACCTCTGAAATACAAACTTACACAAGGAATTAATTAATGAAAGGCTCGTATAATTTAACAAAATTAAACAAATCATATATAGTAGGCCAACTGAACGAGCAAATAAATAAGGTGTAAAAATTTTTATTAATAGTTAAATAATTAAATTAACATTCCGTTACAGAATCGATATAAATTGTAAACGTTTCGACTGCACTACAGTCTTTATCAATACATAAAAGTTAAATATTAAAATACAAAGTTAAATGTTAAAAATACAAAGTTAGTTAATTATTAAAATATAAATTGAAACGATTCTTCGCTGTTGACCAATAGATATGCAAGGCGATTGGTCTGAGATGCCAAGTTATGCGACATTTGAGCATGCTACGGATATAATACGCGAATTAAATCAATGTCAGAGAAAATTAAAAAATCTTTCAACTTACATTATCGTTTTAACAAGTCCTTTTCCCCGATATTTCAAGTGTGTGTTGCGAAGTCTGAATACCAAATGTCAAAATAGAGAGCGTGATGTATTTATTTATTTTGTATTTATGTATTTATTTTGGTAATAAATAAATACATCACGCTCTCTATTTTGACATTTGGTATTCAGACTTCGCAACACACACTTGAAATATCGGGGAAAAGGACTTGTTAAAACGATAATGTAAGTTGAAAGATTTTTTAATTTTCTCTGACATTGATTTAATTCGCGTATTATATCCGTAGCATGCTCAAATGTCGCATAACTTGGCATCTCAGACCAATCGCCTTGCATATCTATTGGTCAACAGCGAAGAATCGTTTCAATTTTATATTTTAATAATTAACTAACTTTGTATTTTTAACATTTAACTTTGTATTTTAACTCAGAAATAAATATTTTTATCGGCTCTCAATATAAAGAATATAAGTATGCTGTCTTCTAAGCCGGGCAATAGAGCCAAGGAAACGAAAACGAAACGAAAAATTAATTAAACGGAACTGTATCTCAATTTGAGATCCCAAAGTTCCACATATAAATTAATTTCGTAACTTACATATGGAGAAATAAGCGAGAAAAATATAGGTCCGAAAAGTCGCTGAAGCGTTTCCTTGGCTCTATTGCCCGGCTTAGAAGACAGCATACTTATATTCTTTATATTGAGAGCCGATAAAAATATTTATTTCTGAGTTTATTCACGCCATGGGCTAATCACGGCGGTATTTACTAACATCTACTAAAGAGGCAAATGAAAAATATGGGATCGAAAGGGTCTGAATAGCTTAGTTGGTAAGAGCAGTCGCCCGGAAAGTGAAAGACGCGGGTTCGATTCCCGCTTCAGCGACTTTTCGGACCTATATTTTTCTCGCTTATTTCTCCATATGTAAGTTACGAAATTAATTTATATGTGGAACTTTGGGATCTCAAATTGAGATACAGTTCCGTTTAATTAATTTTTCGTTTCGTTTTCGTTTCCTTGGCTCTATTGCCCGACTTAGAAGACAGCATACTTATATTCTTTGTATTTTAATATTTAACTTTTATGTATTGATAAAGACTGTAGTGCAGTCGAAACGTTTACAATTTATATCGATTCTGTAACGGAATGTTAATTTAATTATTTAACTATTAATAAAAATTTTTACACCTTATTTATTTGCTCGTTCAGTTGGCCTACTATATATGATTTGTTTAATTTTGTTACACAAGGAATCTCGTGCTTAGATCCGAAAATCGCTGTTGATCCGAAGATTGCCCATAAGAGGCTAATATCCTGCCTATTGGTTTCCAGTGCAACAATATCTGGGATCAAAGCTGACCGCATAAAACAAGAATATGTTAATGCTTGCAGTGAGCCTCAAATTGAGGATATGTTGAAATCCTTCAAAAGGACTGAAACTCGTCTAGATAAATTTTGGATAGATGTAACTAAATTGTCGATGAAACCGTGTGATAATTTCGTGGATTTTATTTTGATTTTATCTCATGATAATGCCACTGTTGAACGCGGCTTTTCCGTCAATTCGGAATGTCTCATTGAAAATCAACACGAGAAAAGTTTGATTGCGCAAAGACGTATCTATGATACTATTAAAATTGTAGGAGACGTGAATAATATAAAAATTGAAAAAAGTTGATACATTCTATGCGCAATGCACATTCTCGATATAAAGAATTTACGGCGAAAGAGCGTGAGGAGCAGAAGATACAGTCACAAGCAGAGTTATTGAAGAAACGTACGACTCGAAAAATACAAGAATTAGAGGCCAAAAGAGCCAAATATTTGGCTGAAGTATCAAAGATAAATGCAGTCATAGTCAGTTCCACTGCCGATATGAAAAAGTAAAATTTAAAATATATTGTTTCTAATTTGTTTCTAACTTGCATTTCATCACGTTACTTAATTAATTTTCTAATAAAAAACAACTTAAAAAGCATTTGTCTTACTGTATTACTTGTGTTACTACTATTGTTTTATTATTTCCTTTCTCTTTTTGAATAATTCATTTTCATTACACGCGAATAAAATTAAATCCTACGCGTAGCGGTGAAAATATGTTTCTTATTAATAACCTTGAAAAACGATATTTTTGATCTGGAAAACCGGGAAAAGACCTTGAATTTGAAAATTGTGAATCGCTGGCCACCCTGTGAGAACCCATGCTTACGATTCTGCAATACATTAACAATAAAAATACCACGTTTTTATTGTTAATACTCGAAATTAGTCTTAAAACAAACTTCTCATTATTTTATATTACTCATTAATTACTTCTCAAGAAACTGCTTTTAGCGTAACCTGCCCTTTAGGCAACTTGAATGGTCCAAAGTACCGCACAAGAAACGCCCAATTACCTGCGGCGAGTGCACACTCAGTGCGCACTCCATTTAGTGCCAAAGTCACAAGTGTTTATGTATTTTTTTAACATTTGTACTCTGATAAAATTCTGGTAAAATGGCAAATTATACGCCTACAGAAGTAGTCGATATTCTTATAACCTTTGGTGAATGTGGTAGAAATTACAGACTTACTGCCCGTACTTATGCGGAGCGATTCCCAAATCGCCGCCATCCTACTGATCAACAAATTATAAACATTGAAAGGAGATCTCGTAATAATCCACTTCATCGCGAAAGGCGAAGGAATAGACTTCATAATAATAATGACCCTAGATTGCTCGCAGTTTTGGCTATGGTTCATTAAAATCCCCATATTAGTACCCGTCAAATAGAACGAGAACTGGGAATCTCTCAAACTACGGCACATAGATTGTTACGATCAGTCAATTACCATCCGTATCATATTACTCTGGTATAGGAATTAAGTGAGGCCGACTACGTACTCAGAGTACAATTTTGTAGATGGGCTCTTGAGATGTTAGATCAGAATCCAGATTTTTTTAGTAATATTTGTTTCAGTGATGAAGCAACATTCATCAGCAATGGTAGTCTCAATAGGCATAATTGCCACTATTGGTCACCAGAAAATCCACATTGGTATCGTGAGGTGCTTAATCAACATCGTTGGAGTTTGTATGTATGGGTAGGCATTTGCAATGGCCAAGTCATTGGACCTCATTTTTTTGAACGTCCAATTAATAGTCCAATGTATTTAGACTTCCTCGAAAATGATTTGCCAGCATACCTAGAGAATGTTCCCCTTGCAGTTAGACTAAATTTATGGTATCAACAAGATGGTGCTCCTGCTCATTATACTCGTCTTGTACGGATATTTTTGAATCAAAGGTTCCCAAATCGGTGGATAGGGCGGGGTGGACCAGTTCTGTGGCCTCCGAGATCACCGGATTTGAACCCCTTTGATTTCTTTTTATGGGGATACGTTAAAGATGCAGTGTATAGTGAAGCTCCAACGACAAGATTGAATATGATGGAAAGAATAAGAAGAGCTTGTGAAGCTATAACTCCTTTAATGCTAGAAAATGTACAACGTAACTTTCGCTGTCGATTACTGTTATCTTTAGAAAATAATGGTGCACACTTTGAGCATCTCCTTCATGCGGAGAGAGCTGATAACAATGCAATCTTGCCTTCACTGGCTGGGTCACTACTCGACCTTGCTTTAACTGGTTGTGTCACCACTCGACCTTGCCTTTACTGGCTGGGTCACTACTTGACCTTGCCTTAACTGGTTGGGTTACCACTCGACCTTGCCTTCACTGGCTGGGTCACTACTCGACCTTGCCTTAACTGGTTGGGTCACCACTCGACCTTGCCTTTACTGGCTGGGTCACTACTCGACCTTGCTTTAACTGGTTGTGTCACCACTCGACCTTGCCTTTACTGGCTGGGTCACTACTTGACCTTGCCTTAACTGGTTGGGTTACCACTCGACCTTGCCTTCACTGGCTGGGTCACTACTCGACCTTGCCTTAACTGGTTGGGTCACCACTCGACCTTGCCTTCACTGGCTGGGTCACTACTTGATCTTGCCTTAACTGGTTGTGTCACCACTCGACCTTGCCTTTACTGGCTGGGTCACTACTCGACCTTGCTTTAACTGGTTGTGTCACCACTCGACCTTGCCTTTACTGGCTGGGTCACTACTTGACCTTGCCTTAACTGGTTGGGTTACCACTCGACCTTGCCTTCACTGGCTGGGTCACTACTCGACCTTGCCTTAACTGGTTGGGTCACCACTCGACCTTGCCTTTACTGGCTGGGTCACTACTCGACCTTGCTTTAACTGGTTGTGTCACCACTCGACCTTGCCTTTACTGGCTGGGTCACTACTTGACCTTGCCTTAACTGGTTGGGTTACCACTCGACCTTGCCTTCACTGGCTGGGTTACCACACGTTTAAGCACCCCGAATTGTGAGAGGCGAGGGGACTCACGTTAATCAAGCACCCCGAAGGGAATAGAAAACTGCTACGTCCACGTTGTTGTTCCTGGGTTACGCTAAAAGCAGTTTCTTGAGAAGTAATTAATGAGTAATAAAAAATAATGAAAAGTTTGTTTTAAGACTAATTTCGAGTATTAACAATGAAAACGTGGTATTTTTATTGTTAATGTATTGCAGAATTGTAAGCATGGGTTCTCAGTAAGAGAAATCGAAGAAATTGAATTTCGTCGATTACAGCGCCATCTATCATGAATCGAGAAAAATGTTTCAGACAAATTGTATGTGTTTTTAGCCAAAGATTCCGAATATGCAATAAAAAATAGAGGTTTCCATTTAAGATTTCAAACTTGCCCCCCCTCACCGCCCAGGGGAAGAGGTAAGGGGGCTGATGTTAACGTCATTGTACGTCCCCTTCGAAATGACGAAATTTTGATTCTAAACATTTTTTTGTAGTGTGCTTATTTTTCGAGTTATTTGGCTGCCTAAGTTAAAATGGGTCACCCTGTATATAGGATACATATACTTACTATGTTGTGCTATGATCCGACAAGTATACTTGACATTTTTATATTTTGCCACACATTCATTTTTATTTTTTTTAACGTTTTCTGATTTACAAATATGATAGATCCCATCATTGAATAATACGAGAGCAAACATTGTGTATGTTTCTTAATACATAGTACGATACATGTGGCAATATCTATATATTCCTTTTCCTCCTTTTTTATAAGCACCTATTTTTTATATTGTAATAAATGGTATTGAAAGTATTGCACATTGTTATAAAACATTTACTAATGTGATAAAGAAGTGTATATGAAAAAAAGAATAAAAAAGAATGTAGATATTTCCGCGTGTACTATATTTATGTATTAAGAAACACACGCAATGCTTTTTCTATTTGTTTTATAACAATATTCAAAATAATTGTAAATTAATTACCACTTCAGATACAAAAATTTATTGAAATCGTTATCTAATTATTAGATTACCTTCATATAATTTTAAACAAACACTAAATGACCGTTACCACCGACGATGAGATCTCTTGTCTCTCGTCGGTGCCGTTACTAATTTGTTATTAAGGTCCGGTTTTTATAGACCGATCTCAGAACCTATGTGAACTTGGCATCCAATTTTAAGACTCGTATTCATAATCCGTTCTTATATTTAAGATCGTCTTAAGACATCGTTTAACCAATCAAGAGATGCTATGCGGCCATTTGATTGGTTGAACGAGGTCTTAAGACGATCTTAAATATAAGAACGGACTATGAATACGGGCCTAAGAAAATGTATTTTTTAGAAATGCATTCGATTAAGGATGTGTAGGAGATACAATCGGAGACAAAAGCACCAACACTATTCATCTTATAGAAAATCTGTACATGTTATAAGAAATTGCTATAGTTTAATTGCCTAAGTTTAGTTTTTAGCTGTTTCCAGCGTTGACATAACGAAATGCTCAGAAATCGGAGAAAAAGCCAGAATGTCAACAAATTATTATTATTTTGTTCTAAATAATTTAGTAAATCCTATTAAAATTTTGCAACATTATCCCTTAAAAATCCAATTATACATGTAAAAAATTTTGAAATACATGGTATCATTTTTTCCATATTTTTGACGTAATTTAATAGATCCTAATAATGATTTTTTATAAGATATGTAAAATTAGCAAAAATTTAAATTACAATAACTTTTAAATGAGTTAGTAAATTAAATTCAAATTTTAACAGTAGCTTTAGTATTAAAGTGGAAACGATTTATATATTTATTTATATTTTGATGAATTTTGTTCCATTTTTAAATGTCTCCTATACATCCTTATAAGCATTGTTTGCACTTGTTTGTACCGTCTTTGATTTCGTTTGTACCCGAAAAGATTGCAAGTTATAAGAGTTAAAAAAATCGTCAGCATCTCATTTTGAGATATCGTAATTTTTTTAATGCAGGTTGATTCAGCATTATTTGTGCCCGTTTGTATTGCGTTTCGTTTTTCTCACCCCATGGGGGTGAAAGTACCAAATTTTCTTCCATAACCATAGCATAAAATTAGCGTAGACCCTGCGGACAATAGGCAAAATATTAGAAATAAATATTAAATATTAGGAATAAGAATTATTTTTAATATTAGGAATAAGAATTATTTTAGAATAATAAAATCGAAAAGACGGATATAAAAATACAAATTCGGGTATAAAGGACTTTTATTAGCTTATATAGCTCTTTTACTAGTCCGTTATATTTGAATTTGTATTTTTATATCATTCTTTTCGATTTTTTACTCCACAATATTTCTTATTCTTAATATTTAATATTTATTCTTAATATTTTGTTTATTGTGCGCAGGGCTTAATCTAATTTTATGCTATGGTCCTTGTAAAATACGTTGCATTAAAAAATTACTAAAATACGCGGACCGTATATTAAAGGGACACGAAATTATACATGGTTCCGATAAAATACAATGCATTCGTATCGGTTTTATCTGGACTGTCCTGATAAACTACTGAACATGAAAAATATTATCAAGACCGTCTAGCTAAGAGCCGAAGGTCCCGCTAGAATACGTTTCAATCAAAAAATGGCCCAGCTAAACTACGTAACACAAACATATATATATACATACATATATATATATATATATAATATATATATATATATATATATACACATATAACATATATAATATTGGCATATTATATCTACATATTTTTAGAAAGCATATTTTCTCTCTCTCAAATCACTCGCATACAATTATGAACGAGCAATTTGAAAGAGAGAGAGAGAAAGAGAGAGAGAGAGAGAGAGAGAGAGAGAGAGAGAGAGTGTGTGTGTGTGTGTCAGAAGCACAGTCGTATACACACCGTGGTCAGAAGACAAGACAGCATGAGAGAGACGAAGATAATATGACTGTCTGTTCTTGTCTAACTGCACGATTGCAGCTCCATCTATCGCGACATCGCGCAACTAATTTTCTGCTCTGTATTATTCCCAAATGTCATTTCGCACATACACATGTGAATGAAATATTCCATAACCAAGATCTTTTTATTAGACTTCTAAACTTATTTCTGCAAGCTCACTAATATTCCTTTATGCAATCTTTTCCGCGAAGTGGTCTTATTTTGTACGTATAAATTGTGAAACTTTTATACAAGCAAATATTGTTATGACGTGACGCGAGAAGCCAGAAAAAAACTCGTATTTAAAAATTTTTTGTCTTTTTATCACAAATTGAGACAGCTTCGCAGTTTATTATTGTATTAACTTTAATCGTGGAAAAGCATTTGTTATTCTATTAACGCAATAAAAACTTCTTGGTGTTGGAAAATATAATCGGTTCGGCCGATAATAGTAGACCTCCGGCATCCCCTTAATCTTAAAAATTCAAAAACATGGAACAAATACACACAAAAGTGATTCAGTCTTTTTACAGTAAATGCTCAAAAATTACTCCATTAACTTTAAGGGGATGCCGGAGGTCTACTATTATATTTTTACTTTTGTAATGTACAATATTTTTAAAAGATTATTATATACGTTTGCATATATAAAAGAATGCAATGTAGAAAAGAGAGAAGAGATAGATAGATCGATAGATAGATAGATAGATAGGTTAATCGATAGATGATAGATAGTTCGATAGATAGACAGATTGCTAAATAAATCAATAGGTATGTGTATATATATTATATATATATATATATATATATATATATATATATATACAGAGTGTCCCAAAAAGAATCGGAACACTGAAAAATCTCGAAAAGTATACGTTTTACAGAAAAAAGTTTCAGACAAAAGTTATAAAAAATGTATTTATTGATCTTATCAGTTTGACCTTGGACGGCGTTACCAAGGTCAGAATAAGGTCACTTTGAATTTTTTAGATGGAATCTATAATTTTTATTACATATTCTTGTAGCTTATCTGGAGAGTTTTCCAAAACACTAATAAAATTATTTTTTATGGAGTACTCTTTGATTTATAAAGGCTAACAATTTTTTGACATAAAATGTAAAATATCTTTGTAAAATATTCCATTTTCGGTAATCATATCTTTTTTGCACGGAATAATGAGACCAATGAATTGGTGTAAAAAAACACATAGTTGCTTATAAAAAAAAAGTATGCTGCTGCATATTGAATATTACATATTCAATTATCTGTTTTCTTTAATAAATTGATTTTTTATTATACTGTGCAAAAAAGTAGGTATGATTATCGAAAATAGAATATTTTATAAAGATATATTTTATGTCAAAAAATTGTTAGCTTCTAACCTTTATAACTCAAAGAGCACTTTATGAAAAATAATTTTATTATAGTGTTTTGGAAAGCCCTCGAGATAAGCTACAAGAATATGTAATAAAAATATATAGGATTCCATCTAAGAAATTTAAGGTAACCTCATTCTGACCTTGGTAACACTGTCCAAGGTCAAACTGATCAGATCAATGAATAGATTTTTTATAACTTTTGTCTAAAACTTTTTTCTGTAAAACGTATACTTTTCGAAATTTTTCAGTGTTCCGATCTTTTTGGGATATTCTGTATATATATATATATATATATATATATATATATATATATACGTGTGTGTGTGTGTGTGTGTGTGTGTGTGTGTGTGTGTGTGGTGTATACATATATATATATATATAAGAATAAAGGGGGTATCATTAGAATATCGCAAAAAATTTATAGATAAAGAAAATCTTGCAAATTTTAAAATCATCTTTATTTTTTGAATGATCTCAAGAATACAAAGTTTCACTGTGGATATCACGTTGCAGGACATCCTGCGTATATATACACATACATACATACATACATACATACATTCATATACAGGGTGTCCCATAATTCGCGAACCACCGGGAATGGGCAGATAGAGCGTGTTAAACTGAATAGAAAAGTCCTGTATCATTTTGCGATATTCGCAATAATTATTGAGTTATTAACTAAAATATCTAAACGAATGAGCGGGTAGAAAGCGATAGGCCGGACTCGGTGTGCATGTCGGATGACTTATTTGTTATATGCCGCTTAGTATCAAAAGTATCATCTTACTTTTCGGCGCCACTACATTGGTCGCCGCTTGCTGCATGACGCCGCCTCTCGATCAAATAATGCTTTTTACCTGCTTATTCGTTTAGATATTTTAATAAATAACTTAATAATTATTGCGAATATCGCAAAATGATACAGGACTTTTCTATTCAGTTCAACACGATCTATCTGCCCATTCGCGGTGGTTCGCGAATTATGGGACACCCTGTGTATATATATATATATATATATATATATATATATATGTATATATGTATATATGAATGTATGTATGTATGTGTATATATACGCAGGGTGTCCTGCAACGTGATATCCACAGTGAAACTTTGTATTCTTGAGATCATTTGAAAAATAAAGATGATTCTAAAATTTGCAAGATTTTCTCCATCTATAAAATTTTTGCGATATTCTAATGACACCTCCTTCATTCTTATTCAATATTTATGGGGTTCAATTGTTATAAATTTTTTTTTACATAATATATATATACATATTTTCTAAAAGTAACAATTTCTGAAAAATAAAGCAGTCTCTTGCTTATTTTAAATAGTTGTTAGTAGTAGAAATATTATAGTAATAATAAATAGTAGTTACAATAGTACAATAGTAATAATAATAGTTATAAAGTTGCAGTAGTAACAAAAAAGATATTTTATGCCAAAGATGATCCATTCGTCTGCTAGTTGCTTTAAAAATATCTTCTCCCAGAACGATTTGCATGTGCGTTCTGGTTATTAAAAAAAGATATTTTATATCAGAGACGATTTATTCGTCTGTTAGTTGTTTCTAAAATATCTTCTTCCAGAACGATTTGCATGTGCGTTCTGGTTATTAAAAAAAGATATTTTACATCAGAGACGATTTATTCGTCTGTTAGTTGCTTTAAAAATATCTTCTCCCAGAACGATTTGCATGTGCGTTCTGGTTATTAAAAAAAGATATTTTATATCAGAGACGATTTATTCGTCTGTTAGTTGTT